TCTTTCTCCAGTTTTCCAGAATATTAAGTGTCAGTTTGTATTTTTATGAGAATTGTAAATTATATTTTTCACTGCTAATTGAAAAGCAACTTGATTATGTAAAAAATATGATATTTAAACATTAACCTAAAGAGAGAGATGTTGAAAAGAAGCAAGCATACCACTTACCGTGTTATAGCTAATATACTATAATGGGTTGTAATTTAATCTTTCAGGTAAGAAAACACTAATTTTTAAGCAATTTTTTATGAAATTTGGTATTGGCATAGTGATTAAGAACTTTTTGGAATTAGACCAAGTTCAAATCCTCCCTCTTTTTCAAGCTAACTGCGAACTTGGTGAATTCATATAGTCATAATTTAAGAATAAATTGTCTTTTTTATTGTGTAATTTCTGTTTTAATTACAGTAGTATTCTATGTTTGATGGTGGACCAAATGGTCTGAGAACCTTTTCTGTTCTTTGTCATGGACTTATATTTGTTGGTTGAACCCAAATCCTTTTTTTTTCCTTATAGATAAATATATCCCTCTTTAAAAAATCTCAGTCAAGAAGAAAAACACAATCTTACTTTATCTACCTACTCAGAGATAAGAAAGCTTATTTTGCACATATGTGCATGTATGCACAATTAACTTGAAATTTGACTATATTTATCAATTTAAATGAAATTCCAATTAATCTCATTCTCTGAGATGATAGGCTATGACTATCGACTACCCCAAATCCTATAAAAAACAAGCCCTACCATCTATGTAGTGTTTATTTCTGTGGAATTTAAAAATTTTGTTTAACAGATTAATTAAATAAAGTAGACAGCTAGAAGTTGAAAATGGGGAATTTATACCACTATATCTTGAAGTGCTATGACAAATGAATGGTAGGATTTTGAAAATGTATATGGAAATTTACCAGGCCTTTGAATGAAGCAAGAATGATTTTTTTTTTCTTTTTCTAGTTTGCTGGAGGGTGTGTGCATTCATCGGAGACAGAAAAAGAGAGAGAGAGAAAGCCTCCCCCAAGGGGTTGGCCATGCTACAATCCCTTCTCTGTTCTTCTTTCAGGATTTTGGACACATACACACACATGCCCCAAGTGTTTTTTTGTTTTGTTTTGTTTTATTTTGTTTTTAAGAGAGATATTTGCTATAGAATGTGTGCACTCATTGGAGAGACAGAGACCTGGAGACAGAAAGCAGAAATCACCTCCCGAGGGGGGATGGCCATGTCACAATACCTTGTCCTTCAGTCTCCTCTTGGGATTTTGGGCATGCACATGCATGCATCCTGCATGAGTTTTAAGCCACTGGGACTCAAACATTTCTCAAAATTAATTCCCATCACTAATTCTCACTTGCAAGTAATTATGCTGTGCTTATTTTGTGCTGTCTTTGAGAGGTGCTTTTATTTAATTTAATCAATATAAGAATCATCTGAAATACTGTTAAATCCCATTTTGTCTTTAAGCTGTATGATAGTCAAAGAAGTGTAAAATATCTGAAGCATGTAAGGCTTTTTAATTGTACACTGTACAACTTCTGTGTGCAACTTATTTCTTGGTTTATATATTTTGAATCTCTGTGATTGCTATTATTGTTATGCTAATAATCAAATCACCCCCAAAAATAAATCTAGCAGATATTCTCTTATGATTATACCGTTTGTCAAAATATTATGGAGAACCATCACACTTACCCAGTACTTAGATATTAGTTCATTTTATTTTGTAATAGAATACTTTTGGGGGGAGTTCAGTAGACATTTTTAAAATTTGGTTTTAGGTTTTTTTGTTTTGTTTTATTTTTGTTAATAGAATGTGTGTACTCCCTGGAGAGAGAGAGAGAGAGAATATGGATGGCCATGCCACTGTCCCTTCTCTTTTATTCTCCTATCAGGATTTCGGGTGCATACACTTACATACACGCTAGCATTTTTTTCAAGGTGCCAGATCTGAGACTTGAACCATGTAGTTGGCCATGTGGGATCCAGCTTCCTACACTACCATGCCACCTGGCTGGCCTAGTAGAGTTTTAACATTACCATTAAACATAACATTACTTTCTACAGTGGTAGAAAGTTGGGCCCTCAGAGTTCTACTGCCTGGGTTCAAGTCCTGTTTCCACCATATGTATAATAGTGGAGAAAGTTTCTTTCTTTCTTTCTTTCTTTTTTTTTTTTTTGAGAGATTTTTGCTATAGGGCGCGTGCACTCACCAGAAAGATGAGAAAGACAGAAAGCGAGAAATCACCACCCCCGGGGGATGGCCACACCGCAATCCCTTCTCCTCCATTCTCCTCTCGGGATCTTGGACATGTATGCACACGTGTCTGGTGTTAGTTTAAGCCACCGGGTCTGGGACTCGAACCGCGGTTGACTACATGGGAGTCCAGCAACATAGCCATTACGCCAACTGCTGGTCCCATGGAGAAAGTTTCTTAATCCTTGCATCCTTTAGTTCCCTCATCAATAAAAGGGGGACTAATAGTAGTACTTATATAATTATAGGTTTAAAGTGAGAGACTACATGTTAAATGTTTATATAGTAAGTCTCAATGGATATTAGCTATATCGTTAGTTTGTAGTTTCTTTGTCCTCATAAAGATAATTAAACATCTTTATAAAGCATATTTCCTTAGAATCCTTTACTAAAACTGAGACTTCACAGTGAAATATTAATAGGAAGTATTTTGAGTTTATTTGGGATTTAATGTCTTAACCCTGTCTGATTTCCATTGTTCTCCTTGATTTCATTTTGTTTAGAATGAAATAATTTAAAATAGTTTTAAATGGCAAAAAGTGCAGAAAAAGAACATTTGAATACTACCTCTTCTATAATGACTTAGTTAAAAGTGGTAAAATATTGTCACTTTGATAAGATAAAACCTTCTAGAATGGTATTCTTTATGAGTATCAAGTTATGAAAAGAAATGTAGAAGTTTGGATTGTTTTCGATTTTAGAGTATAACACATTGTAAAATAATATTCTTCTGATAATTTAGAAGATATATTTTCTTTGTTAATTTTTTAAAAAATTAGTAATAGAATTAAAACAATATCTACTGGTTATGGCAGCTATGCTTAGTGTGGTCTTGAGTGCTATCCGGCATAGAACAGAATGGCAGTAACTTCCCTTAGTGGGGGAACTCAGAAATACCTAAGCTTGACTGTCAGGCTGCCTTTATTGACTGTCAGGTTTGGGAGGGGGGCACAGCATGAAGGGATATACGTCCAAATGAGAATCAAAATTCTACTTAATTTCTGATTGGCTGGTGCAGGCCTCTCTGAGAGCTGCTGATCACGACCTCATGATTTAGGTTTAAAGTATAAGCAGTGCCTGCTACATTCTCATTAAGTCTGACTCCACTTCTTGGGATTTTATCACTCAAAGTCTGTCTATAATAATCCAAAGCAATGGCTAATATTTAGACTAAGAGTAAGGAATAAAGGAATAAAAGAGATGGTAAGACCTGCTAAATCATAATCTAACTGTTTGGATCCTCCTTCTCTTCCTCTGAGAAGGCACACCAGAGGAAGTGGGCAGAGGTGGAGGCAAAGGGATAAACTTCATGAGAGCCAGTCTCTCGTTTTTACTTCTTTTTGCTCTTTCCTTGTGAATGTGGCTCATATTTGTCTTTTTGGACCAGGGATACACTTTAAAAAAGAAAGTTTAATTTCTTTCATGTGTTGGGGGGTGGGAGGACAAAAAGACAAGCATGAGTGCGTGCACATACATGCACACATACCCACTCTCCCTCCCTTAATAAGGTCTCATCAGCCATAACCCCCTCAACTCCCCAGTCTTCCACCTGGGATCCGAACATCTGATCTTCTACGTGGCTTCCAAGCATGGTTACCATTGCCATAGCACCTACGCCACTGTGACTAAGCCATGACCACGTACACTAAAGCCTTTGTATTCTTTTCTGAGACATCTTTGTAGTCCTCATCAATTATTTATTATTTTTTTAAAAAAAAAACATAATTTATGGACTAGACACTTGGCTTTTTTCTTTTACTCGAAGTATATATGATTTGAATACATTTAATTAAACTTTTGGTATGTATACATATGCACCTCTTAGCCTAGAACATCCACATTAACATGTAAAGGAAAGTATAACCAATATACTTCCCTAATCCATTCTTAGGATTAGTTGTAGAGTTTTTCTTCCATTTTTTAAAGTCTTAATGCAACTTTTCTTCTAACAGAAAATATTTTCTAACAGGTTTTATATTTTATATGTAAAAGGCTAGATAATTACTATGTATCCTACTCTGAACATGAGCATTTAGTATCAGAGATACCTTTTTAATTTCTGAAGTTTTGTCAAAGTAGATATGAAAACTATTTGATTATGTCACATAGAACACTTTCTAACTAATGTTATATAATTTCCATACAGATGCCCTTCTTCTTTTTCTTTTTTAAAGTTGATATCACATCAGCAGAAGCTATGAAATTCAGAGTTAAGACTGTCTTTTTTTTATTTTTTTAAGCATCATTGTTTCTAAGAATTGCAATCCTTAGGGAATATAGTAGTATTTTGTAATTTTATATTGCCTTTACTTGAAAATGTTGTAAAGAATTTCAAATTATTTTCTAATTTCTACACCCAAGAAGTCAGTGGTTTTTTTTTTTTTTTGGACATTTAGTTATAGGACATAGCAAGTATTTTTTTCTACTGCTTTTTGATGAAAAATGAGGACAATACCGTTCACATGAAATGTTGAGCACTAAACTAACATTATGTCTTGGTTATGGGAATACTCTCTCTTCCTTATTTATTGCCACAGAAAAACCTAAATTTGATGTCTGAGAACACAGCAGTGTATACTTCTAGTGATTTGTGGCTTAAGTGGGCAGGTCTTCTGGTCTCACAAAGATCTCTCAAATAGTTACCTTCAGCTAGTAAGTACATGGACTGGGCTGGAAAATTCAAGAAAACCTTTCTCAAATATCTGGGCCTGACTGCTGGCTTGGCACCTTGGTTCTTCTCCATGTGGTCACTCTCTCTCCATGTGATATTTCATCTTCTAGGGACTCCCCACATGGCATCTCCCCTTAGTAGGATAACCTGGACTTTTCATACAGCAGGAGAGCTGGCTTTCAAGAGTTTTCCAAAAAAGAGAAAGCATAAGCTGCCAGACTCACAGGCTAGATCTGAAACTGGCAAAATATCTCTTTGATTATAGTCTGTGTTCAAGGCAGGATACATGGTCAGCCTAGGGAGAGGATAGTCCATTCTACTTCTTCATGAGACAAGTGGGATGTGCATACTGGGAGGGGAGAATTGGTAGCAGCTGTCTTTGGAGACCACTTAGCACAAATAGCTTTGTGGTCCTATGAGGGGATTTCAGAGAGTTCATTAAACAATGAAATTAAAGTACAAGTTTATTTTCATGCAAAAAAAAATTGAAATTCTATGCAAAGGCTTTCTCTCTCTCTATCTCTTTCTTTCTCTCTCTCTCTCTCTTTGGCCAGAAGGCATAGGGACTCACCGAGAGAGAGAGAGAGAGAGAGAGAGAGAGAGAAAGAAAGCATCTCACAATGCGAGGTGGTCACACTACAGTACCTTCTCCTCCATTTTCCATCTTTTTTAGGGTTTTGGGGCACCTGGTATGTTTTTCAAGTTGCAAGGATTAGTATTTGAACCATAGTTGGTCATGTGGCATCCTGCTTCCTTAAACACTAGGCCAAGTGGCTGGCCCCATGGGATTTTCTCAATACTTACTTTCCATGAGCTTTCTGAAGGCACCATGTATAGTGGTCTCTGTTTTTAAAAGCCTGTTAATGAAATTAGATCTACATAATATCTGTTGTTCGTCCAAAAGACATGAGCTTTGTTGTTATATTCCAGATATTTAGAGCCACATGTTCGATTTTTTAGTTGGCTTAATAAATGTACTTTGTTCTTTTATTTGTTGTCTTTTTGGTGCTTATCTTTTCCTTTGATCTAGAGATACTGTTGAATGGTTATGACATTATAGCATGATATTTGGGGGAAATCATCAAAATTATAGACAGTAGATAACATTGAAAATGTTAGCATTTATTTTGAAAATGTTTAGAATTTGAAATATATGTATACATACTAGAGATATTGGTCTATAGTTTTCTTACAATGTCCTTGTCTGGTTTTGGTAACAGGAAATTGCTGGCATAGAATGAATTAGGAAGTATTTTCTTATTTGAGTTTTCAGGCAGAATTTGTATAGAATTGGTATTATATTTTTTAAGTATATGTAGAATTTGCAAGTGAAACTAAACCATCTGGACTTAGAGTTTTTCTTTGTTTAAAGGTGTTTAGCCACAAATTCAATTTTCCCAAGAAATATTAGGGCTATTCAAAATACCTATTCTTTTTTTGATTCAACTTTAGTCTGAGATTCTCAAATATTTTTTTCTGAGTGGTTCATTTTATTGGCATAATTTCGGGGAGTTAATTTGCTTTTTTTATTTTTTCTTAAGGTGGAAGCTAAGGTCATTGATTTGACACATTTCTTACACTACTTCAGATGGATGATAAACAGAAAAATAGTTCTATAAGGCACTAAAATCTTCGGTGACTTCTGATTGTAGAATAAATGCAAACTTGGAACTTTGTTATTCATAAACCTCTAAACTGGTTTAAACTTAAAGTTAACTGAACATACACAGTACCTCCTCTTCCATTCAAAAGAGCATTAAAATGATAGTAAGGGAATTCCAGAAAGGGTCAAGTCCACAGAAATGAAAAGCTGGGTTGGGGAGGAGTTTTAGTAGACCAGTGATTTCAAAATTCTGGAAGTTTGTGGAAGAATGTGAATAAGTAAAGCAAAGCAGGGGTGAGTGGGAGCTCTGCCTGGCAAAATACTGGGGATCACCTGACTTAGGAATGAGGAATGAGACTGAAAACAGGCAAATTAATTGAAGACATTCTTGGAGCTGTCTTCTTTCCTCTTCAAATTGCTCTAGTTCCTTTATTAGAAATTAAAACTGCTGGCTTTCTTAGATTTCTTTTCACTGAGTTCCCGAGTTATCCTTAACATTTCTTTAAATTGTATCTTTTTCTACATTTTATTTCACCATTATTTTGCTGAAATACATTCTCAGATTCAGGGCACCTTCAGAATGTTCATGGAAAATGTGTATTATGTGAAAACCATACATGAATTCATGGATTTTTTTGCACCAAAATAAATTCATACTTTATCTTTTCATTATCTTTTGGAAATACCTGTGAAGGGCCTTAAAATGTGCTACTCCTGCTCCCTTAGGCATACTTGAAATGTTTGTGTGGGACATTTTTGATTATCATGTCTGGGGTTAGCTGCACTACTAAATTATCAAAAATCTGAGTCCTTTATAATGAGAGAAAGTGATTTTTTTTTTCCCTCTATGCTCTTTCACTTGATTATGTAATGGTTGAGGAATTTTAAGTTTAAAATAATTTTCTCTTTGGGACCAGTAAATAGCTTAATGGTTATGTCACTGGACTCCCACATGGATGACCACAGTTCTAGTCCTGGACCCAGCAGCTTGAAACTCACACTGGGTTCATGTGTGTGTGTGCCCAAGATCTCGAGGAGAAGGGATTATGGCATGGCCATCTCCCCTGGGGGTGATTACTTACTTTCTGTCTCTCTGGTGAGCGTATGTACCCTATAGAAAAAAATCTCTTTAAAAAGATAATTTTCTCCAGTATCTGAGAACCACTTAAATTATTTTCAGCATCCATGATTGCTAGTGAGACAGCCAGTGTGAGTCTGATTTACTGTGGCACAGTGGTAAGCAATGCTCAGTGATCCTGGACCCACATGAGAAGGTCCCAGGTTTCTTCCTGAGGGCTCCCTGACATGTCAGGGATGTGGGTGCATGCATATTATCCAGGCTGGCTAAAGCTGGATGCAAAGACCTATTAGAAGTATATCCCTCTTTTTCCTCTAAGAAGAAGGATGGAAGGAGGAAGACAAGGAAGAAAGGAGGGATAGATACTTCCCTTTAAAAAAATATTCATACAATTGTTCTTTAGTGAACATTGAAAATATATACATTTATAATATAAATTATGCTAAATAATTCATATTTTTTATTTATATTTTTCAGACAATGAATGATTTTGACTATTTGAAACTACTAGGCAAAGGCACTTTTGGGAAAGTTATTTTGGTTCGAGAGAAAGCAAGTGGGAAGTACTATGCTATGAAGATTCTGAAGAAAGAAGTCATTATTGCAAAGGTAAGTGATTACTAGAGTTTACTGAATTTTTGTATGCAGTGTGCACACATGTCTGCTCAGAGATGTATATGCTGAAAGTATAAACATCTGATTAGACAACAAAAATATTGCATATAGGCTACTACTGCAGTAATACCTATATATTAATAATTATTACAAGATTTTGAAAAGTTTAAATGTTATCTGAAGATTATATACCAAAGCTATTTTATCTTTTGAGGAAGTAGAGATGTTTCATTCTATGTTCTTATGTGGGAGAATGTTTTTACTATTAGATACTCTGGAAAGTCATGACTTTTTTTTATGTTTTCTTATGCAAAAATGCATCATGACTTTCCTCACAACCCAATATATATTTACAATCCTTATTAATTATGCTACTGTTGCTTTTTAATATTTTGCCATGTTTGAAATGTCATATTAAATAAATTATTGATTAGAATAGTGTAAATGACTTTGTGCTAATAAATTGAATGGCACTGGATAGACAAGCATTCTAAATAGATGTGAAAATACTAGAAAATGGATAAACTAAGAAATATGACAGTCTGTGAAGTTTTTTTTTTTGAAGAGGTCTAACCCCTCCCTCAGTAACTTTGTCTTAGATTTCATGAATAATGAACATCGTAGAGATGGTAGTTCTCACTCAGTTATAAATTGAATCCCAGTTTTCTCAATAGACAACAATGAGGTACTTTACATATTGGTCCATGGTTTATGCCTTACTTAATTCAACAAAGATGTAATAATAATCTATAAACAATAATATTTTAGCTTTCAGCCATTTACAACTTTAGTTTCCTCATTTGTAGGCTATTGCTGTAAATGCTTAATGCTGTTTTTGCACATTTGTTTTAATCTCTACTCCATCACAGGACATTGTTTTCTATTGGAAAGAACTTTGCAATTACACAGGCCTTAGTTCATATCCCACCTTACAGCCTTTAACAACTTGTGTTTTTGAGAATTTTTCTCCCTTCAGGACATTTGGAAATGTTTATGGGGATGGGAAACATATTCGTCTGTCTTATTCACTTAGATTAGAGTCACTTTTGACAGTTACCAGGTAGAAACCAAGCATGTGGACATCCTACAATATTTTGGGCAGCCTATCAGAGTCTTAGTTTTTTCATTTGAAAATTGGCAGAATAAAACTTTCTGGACAGGAATGTTATGAACCTTAGGATATATAAAGAATTTAGCATAGTACCTGGCACTTACTATTAATTAAACATGTTTTTGGAGAAGTAGTGTACTATATCAGGTTCTATCACTTTGTAAATGATCCCAAACAAATTTCTCAACTTTTCATGCTTTTGTTTCCTTATTTGCAAAATGGAGATAATAATAGTACCCTCTTTATAGAGTTATCATAGTTAAATGACTAAATAAATGTAACAGTATTCGTTGCCATTATTAAATTAATTTAATAAATCACGTATTAAATCAAATTGAATTCAAATTAAGATAACATTAAATAAAAATTAGTATATTACTATCAAAAATATTTGCTACCATTATTGATACCACCCACTGTGTATCAGTATCAGTATCAGTTCCTTTCTGTTTTTCCTTCTACATATTAGCCTTATTTTAGATCTCTAATTTATGACCATCATACTTGAGAACATCCTATTAGACAGTCTTATTGCACTAATTTCTTAGACTTCCTAAGTAACTGTCGAGACTTTGGGTATATTTCACAAATGATAGAATTATCTCGATTAATGCAGCTCCTTAATCGTTTCCTCAACAAATTCACTTATCAATTTATTGAAAAGAAAATGTGCTTAGTTTTAGTAAAATGATTAACATTTTATAGTTTTGCAGTCTGAGAAAATCTGGGTTTTATTATACATATTGTAGTAAATCATGATATGCCTGCCTCAGAGCATCATTTCAAGGAATAAATGATGTTGATATGTTGTCTTACTGGTCATGCTAACCTTGATCACTTGATTATAGTGTTATCCACTGAATTTCTCTACTGTGAGGTTACTGTTTTTCCCTTTGTAATTCTTAGTGGAAATCTTTCAATATGAATATCCTATTCTTTTTTTGTCTAATAATTTAACATCCATTAGTGGAACTTGGCTATAATGATTTATTATGGTATTATAATGGTGATTTTGTATTTCTCTCATTCCTTAATACATTAATTCTTTGTGACGTTAGCTAATGGTTTGTTTTGTTAAGTTTTTCAAAGACCCAACTTTTGTTTTTGATTTTTCTCTACTTTCCTTGCTCTAATTCTTATTTTTTCCCTTCTGCTACCTTTGAATTTAGTTTGTCCTTTATCTAGTTCCTGAAGTTATAAAGTTAGATTATTGAAATCTTCTTTTTAAATGTAAGCATTTATAGCTATAAATTTACCCCCTGCCTTGCTTTTGCCGTATACCGTAAGTTCTGGTATGTTGTGTTTTAGTCTTCATTAATCTCTAAGTATTTTGTAAGTTCCCATGTGTTTGTTCTTTGATTCAAGAGTCTGTTGATGAATTTCCACAGTTTAGAAAAATTTTCTAGTTTTTTTAATAAAATGTTATTGATTTCTAACTTTATTGTGGTTAGAAAAGACACTTTGTATGTTATATTTTTAATGTACTGATATTGAATTTGTGACCTAACGTAGTCTGTCCTATGGAATGTCCCCATGTGTACTTGAGAAGAATATATTGTTGGGAAGAGCATTCTGTGTGTGTTTGTGGATCTAGTTGCTTAATTATGTAGTACAAATCTTCTATTTTCTTTTTTTAAGGGAAATTTTTGCTATAGAGTGTATACACTTGCCAAAAAGACAGAGAGACATAGAGAGACAGAAATCAAGAAATCAACCCTCCCCACCTAGGGGGGGATGACCACACTGGAATCCCTTGTCCTCCATTCTCCTCTCAGGATCTTGGACATGCACGCCCAGTGTGAGTTTAAGCCAGCAGGTCTGGGACTTGAACTGCAGTCCACTATATGGGAGTCCAGTGACAACCATTATGCCATCTGCTGGTCCCTATGTCTTCTATTTTCTAATTTCTGTCTACTTACTCTATCTATAATCTAGAGTGGACTATGGAAGTCTTCAACTATTACTGTACAACCATCTATTTCTGCCTTTAATACTGTCAATTTTTGCTTTATGTATTTCTATAGTGTGTTATGTAAATGTTTATAATTTGTACATCTACTTGCTAATTGAACCTTTTATTCATGTCTTTTTTTGTCTCTTACAAACTTTTCTTATTTAAAGTCTATTTAATACTAGTCTAGTATAGCCACCCTACTCATTTTTTTTTCCTTTTTACATTTTTCAGGATTTCATCAATCACTAGACATCTTTACAGTGTACAAAATGGTCTTCTGAAGCATGAGTACAGGACATATTTGTCAATTCAAAGATAATGCCCTATACTTTATCATCAACAAATAACTTTTTTGTGTCTGTTGAATTTTTTTTATTACTAGTTTCATGAAATATTTTTTCCCTTTCAAGTTCAACCTATTTGTGTCTTTGGAACTGAAATAAGTTTCTTGTAGACAACATAGAATTGGGTCATGCTTTTTGTTTAATCAATTCCACAATTCCGTGTTTTGATTGAGTTAATTAATTTAAATTTAATTTCTGTAAAGGAAAGACTTCCGTCATTTTTTGCTTATTTTCTGAAAGCCTTATAGCTTTTTTTTTTTTTTTTGCTTAGTCCCTGATTACTGTCTTCTTCTGTGTTTAGTTGTTTTTTGAGTGAAACATTTAAATTCTCTACTCATTTCCTTTTATGTATATTTTATACCTATTTTCTTCATGGATACCATGGACATTATATTTTAACATCCTAAAACTACAGTACTCTAATTCTAACTTATTATACCTTTAATAACATATGAAAACTGTCTCTCCCCAACCCTGTCTCCACTTTCTTTTAGTTATTGCCATCTTCAAATTACATCTTTGGCTAGGTGGTATGGAGTAATATGCTGCTCATGTGAAGATCCATCTATATGAAAAATCACAGCTTTGACGTGGAGGTAGATGCAGACATAGCCACGCAGTTTGCAAAGGCAGAGGTTGAGACCAGAGACCTTTGGAGCCACTGTGGGCTTAAGGACAGAAACCCAAATTACAGATTAGTCTCAGACCTTGAAATCTAATGGAGTTTCCTCCACTGAGGTTTAGACTTGCTTGGGATTAGTGACTCCTTTATTCCTTTCAGCATCAGTGTCTATGCTATATCTGTCCCACCATTGTATTTTGGAAGCAGATAAACTTGTTTTCTAGTTTAAGAGGTCCATAGATGTAGAGAACTTTTGCTCTTGGATGGTCATAATCGAGATTCTCATTCATTCCTGATTTAGTTGATGAGATTTTGTACCTAAGGGTGAGTTTTAAATGGAGGTTTTGGAATTAGATTGATAGTATAGTGGGCCATGACTTTTTGGGAATGTTTGGGTGGGTAGATGCATTTTGCATGTGACACAAAAGTGAATTTTAGAGGCCTGTTGGTGAACTATAGCAGGTTGGATGGTAACAAAGACTATGTCCACATTCTAATTCCTACATCCTCTTAATGTTGCCTTATTTGGAAAAAAAGAGTGCTTTTAGTTATAACTGAGTTAAGCATCTTGAGATAACATATTCATCGATAATTCTGGGCGACAACAGTCCTTCCTAGAGTAAAACAGGGAGATTTGCCTCCTACAGGGCAAAGAGGAGAAGGTGATGTAAAGATGGAGTCAGAGATTTGATTGATGAGGCTCCAAGACAAGGAATGTTCAGGTAGCAGCTACCAGAAGCTAGGAGAAAAACACAGAATGGATTCTTCTCCAGAGCCTCTGGTAGAAGCATGGTTCTGCTGGCCTTTTTGTTTTAGCCACCAAGTTATGTGTAATTTGGTACAGTAGCCACAAGAAACTAATACTTCAGATACCCAGAAATATGAACTTGCTCACCTTTGGAAGGTATGTACTAACCAGATTACCTGCAGCAATAGTAATCTACCAGGTGCTTCCCTCCATCC